GAATTCGAGTCATGGTAGTGGGAGCGGGGAAGAAACATTTAGGAACTAGAGGAAAGTTGTATTTTTCATCATTGTTACATCGCACCCTGACTGCAAGCTGAGTTTTTCCAGCACGTTTGTATTGCAATTTTTGTGGCAAAATTAGGTGTCTTGGCAGCTATTCAGGTCGGCTTATACTCAAGTATATATATATACCTTAAGCAAATGACTTTTTTTCTCAGACGTTCTTTCTAATTTGGAATATATTACTGTGATTTATGTGAAAATTTACACAGCAAATGTTTCCCACTCAACAACTTATACACGTTGTATCATGGCATTAGTTGCGATTCTCTCAATGTAACACTTCCCAATTCCTTTCTGGGATCGCGGTTTCCCTATGTCCATCTTTCTTGCCACCTTCCTGCCTTTAGAACTTCATTTTGGGCAAATGCTACCCTATTAGTCTCTTATGATTAATTGTTCTGAGAAGCACTTTTTTCAAGGGGTGTTACTGTCCATTTTCTAGGCCTGTCTAGTGTTGGATGAAAGATGACCTCCCAGAGATCAGTTCCAGGTTTGAAGGACAATTTTGCTTGGATCCAGTATCAATGATCTTGGAACCAACAGTCAAGAAATCAAACAATACACTGCCAGAAGGGAAATCTGCTGCACAAGACCTCTTTAAAATGTTGAAGAGCACAGACTATTTTGAGGACTAAGGTGCACCGACTCAAGCCATGATATTTTCCATTACCCCACACGCATGTGAAAGTTGAACAATGAATAAGACCAACTGGAGAAGAACTGATGCATTTGAATTATGGTGGTTGCCGAAGAATATTTAAAGTCCTATAGACTTGAGTCAGATGAACAAATAAATCTGTCTTGGAAGAAGTACAGATAGAATGCTCCTTAAAAGCGAGGATGAGAGAAGTTAGACATGCTATCAGTAGAACCCATTTTCTAGACAAGGACACTATGCTTGGTAAAGTAGAGGGATTACAGTGTCTGCAACAATGGGTTCAAACATAACAAGGGTGGTGGGGATGGTGCAAGACTGGGCAGTATGTCACCCTGTTATGCATGGGGCTGCTGTGAGTCAACCTAACTCTGAACAACAACAATAAGAGCCATCATCTCAGGGATCCCACCAGTTTCGGTCAGTAACTCTGGACTTTTTCATGATTTTGAATTTCATTCTCCATTGTTCTCCTCTGATCAGGATCTTCTACTGTGAGCTCAATCAGAAGCAGTGGCAGCCCTCCTAGTCTGAGAAGCTGTTTCCTTCTGAGCATAAAATAGTCACTCTGCTGGAATGCTGGGACAATTATAAGAAAAACTGCAGGAAGGCCTGTCTGGATAGGACAGGCTGGATGAACAATCTGGAGGAGAAAACAACAGGACTGACAGTTCCGGGGGAACATGGGAAAGGGGGCGGTGGGGGGAAGGGAAGAGGTGTTAGCAAACCCAGGGACAAGGGAACAACAAGAGATCCAAACTGGTGGTGAGGTGGGTGTGGGAGACCTGGTAGGGCATGATCAAGGGGAACATAACAAAGAGGAAGTGCTAAAATCCTGGTGGGGACTGAGCATGATAGTGGGACAGGAGGAGAATCAAGGGAAAGAGGAAAGAGCTGGGAGGAAAAGAGCATTTATAGAGGTCTAGATAAAGACATGTACATATGCAAATATATTTATATGAGGATGGGGAAATAGATCTATGAGCCTACATTTATAGGTTTAGTATTAAGGTAGCAGAAGGACATTGGGCCTCCACTCAAGTACTCCCTCAACGCAAGAATACTTTCTTCTAGTAAATTGGCAGTTTATGATGCTCACCTTCCCGACACAACCGCTGAAGACAAAGCGGGTGAATAAGCAAATGTGGTGAAGAAAGCTGATGGTGCCCTGCTATCAAAAGATATAGCATCTGGGGTCTTAAAAGTTTGAAGGTAAACAAGCGGCCATCTAGCTCAGAAGCAACAAAGCCCACATGGAACAACATATCAGCCTGTGTGATCACGAGGTGTGGAACGGATCACTGAAGACAAATGGGTGCATAAGCAAATGTGGCGAAGAAAGCTGATGGTACCCGGCTATCAAAAAGTATAGCGTCTGGGGTCTTAAAGGCTTGAAGGTAATCAAGCGGCCATCAAGCTCAGAAGCAACAAAGCCCACATGGAAGAAGCACACCAGCCTAAGCAACCACGAGGTGTCGAAGGGATCAGGTATAAGGCATCATCAGAACAAAAAATCTTACCATAGTGAATGATGGGGGGAGTTCGGAGTGGAGATCCAAAGCCCATTAGTAGGTCACTGGAGATCCCCTTGCAGAGGGGTCTCGGGGAAGAGATGAGCCTGTCAGGGTGCGATGTAACAACGATGAGAAATACAACTTTCCTCTAATTCCTAAATGTTTCCTCCCCGCTCCCACTACCATGACTCGAATTCAACCTTGCAAGTCTGGCTAGACCAGAGGATGTACACTGGTACAGATAGGAACTGAAAATACAGGGAGTCCAGGGCAGATGAGCCCTACAAGACCAGTGGTGTGAGTGGCGAAACAGGGAGGGTAAGGTGGCGAAACAGGGAGAGTGGGTAGGAAAGAGGGAACCGATTACAAGGAACTATATGTGACCTCCAGAGGGTGAGTGGCGAAATAGGGAGAGTGGGTAGGAAAGAGGGAACCGATTACAAGGAACTATATGTGACCTCCTCCCTGGGGGACGGACAACAGAAAAGTGGGTGAAGGGAGACGTCGGACAGGGCAAGATATGACAAAATACCAATTTATAAACTCTCAAGGGCTCATGAGGGAGGGGGAAGTGGGGAGGGAGGGGAAAAATGAGGACCTAATGTTGGGGGTTTAAGTGGAGAGAAAATGTTTTGAGAATGATGTATAAATGCGCTTTACACAACTGATGTGTGTATGGATTGCGATAACAGTTGTATGAGCCCCTAATAAAATGTTTATAAAAAAAAACAAACTGCAGGAAATCACTTAGTTCCATGTCTCCCTCTAAGAAGGTACCTGAATAATGTTCAATATTATTGCTACTATTTCCATGGCAGGCAAATATTCAAAAATGAACACCATCAATTCTGACTCACAGTGATTCTACTGGACAAAGTAGAATTGCCCCAGAGGGTGTCCGAGGATTACTGAAGCAGACTGCCACATCTTCTGCTGTAGAAGAGCTCAGAGACATGAAGCACCAAGCAGCTTTACCCACTGAATGAACAGGATTCCTTTTTATGCAAATCTAATTAGGTGTGTATCACACCGTACATATAAACATGTACTGAAGTAAAATTAACTGCGATTTAAGAATTTCACTACAGCTATTCCAGTAGTAATAAACCTTAGTTGAGCACAGACTCACCACTAGCATGCAGAAGGCTTATTTGGCTACTTCCTCTAGGAAGCCTTCCCTGATTCCCAAAGTCTAACTTAGAGAGGTCTCTCCCAGGACTGGATTTACCCAGTACTTCCTCCTTTCTAACACTAACTGTATTTTACTAAACTGTAAATACGTAACAGGAAGAAACAGTATCAGTTGTCTGAATACATTTTTCCACCAATTCCTCACTTACACTTAATAACTTAGTTCAGAAATTTTTCAGTTGTCTAAACCAAAACAAGGGAGTCAGTTACCAAGGCCCAATAACCTCACAGGACGTAATGGGCATGTTGTGGCCATCAGCAACATGGTCCACTCACTGTCTTATGAGACATTATCTGAGATGGCTGGGAAAATATAGGGGAAACAGTCAGGGGGTGATTCAGGATGGTCTGGTATGACTCTGGACTAGGTCCATGTATAAGGTTGAGTCCCTAACTAAGGCCAGAATGACACAATAATGGAGCCCTCACTGACACCTATGTATGTAAGTCTGCTTGCCACATAATCAGTATCCTAATGTCTCCTAGCAGTGGCTCATGGTGATAACCTTAACAACTAGCTGTAGCCACTGCCTCTACTGCCACCACCAACAGGGCCTGTGCTGGGAGGAAACCAGTCCTCCCTACTCACAGCACCCCTTTCCAGTAATATGTTAAAACATGGTGGACTACTATGAAGTTCTGGGAGTACAGAAATATGCTTCGCCAGAGGACATTAAGAAGGCTTATCACAAAGTGGCACTTAAGTGGCACCCTGATAAAAACCCAGAAAATAAAGAAGAAGCAGAGAGAAGATTTAAAGAAGTAGCTGAAGCATACGAAGTGTTATCAAATGATGAAAAACGGGACACTTATGATAAATATGGCAAAGAAGGATTAAACGATGATGGTGGAAGTCGTTTTGATGAGCCTTGCGAGAGTGACTTCAGAATCCGTAAGCCAGATGATGTCTATAATCATTTTTTTGGTCAGAGGGACCCATTTTCATTTGAGTTTTTTGAAGACTCGCTTGAGGACCTTTTAAAGAGTCCAAAGCAGTCCCAGAAGAGCAGAAGCAGAGGTGCGGGGTCCTTTTCCTCTACCTTCAGTGAATATCCAGCTTTTGGGAGCAAATTTTCTTCTTATGATGTAGGCTATGTATCATACAGTTCACTGGGGCATGGGGGCCTTACTTCATTCTCCTCCATGGCATTTGATGATAGAGGGATGGACAACTACTTATATTTTACAAGGTCAGATCAAACAGCTGATGGCAGAAATATCAATATAAAGAGAATAATTGAGAATGAGCAAGAAAGAGAAGTAGTTGAAGAGGATGATGAGTTGAGGTCCTTCCTGATAAATGGGATGGCAGAAGAAGAGGGCTTTTCTGAAGGATGGGGCTGGAAAGGAGAGTCATTCAGCAAATACTCAAGTTCTTACAGGACCAAACATATACCTCAGTATACTTTTGTAGACAATGATGAACTAGGTGGACCTTGGGTCACTAGCAGCTGGGATCCCGCCATTTTCTCAGAAGGCTTCAAAGAAGGTGGTAAGAGGAAAAAGAAGAAGCACAAAGAGGTGAAGAAGAAGAAATCAACCAAGAGGAAAAGCTAAATAGACTCTTCAGACATGTTATGTTCACATTACATTTGAACAAGACTATGTGTGTGTTTTGATCATTTTTGTAGATAACGTTTAATAGTATATTAAGGTCCTGCTTATAACTTTGCTAGCAGAATTGTAGACATTTGAACATCAGTCGTTTTGACGAGGTATTTCAGAAAAAGAAGAGATTGTGGTGATGGTGATGTTAGAAATTTGGAGAACAGCAAAGACTCATTTTATTCCCTGAATTTTTAAGCCAAATACTTTAGTATCATAGAAATTTTCTTTTGTAGAGTTTAAGACTTACCTAATTCTTTTAAGGAGCTCTGGTGGCATAATGATGGGTTACAAATTGGGCTGCTGTCAGTAGTTCAAATCCGCCAGCTGCTCCAAGGAAGAAAATGGAAGCTGTCTGCTCCTATAAAGATTTACAGTCTAGGAACCCAAAGGAGAGCGTCTGTTCTACACTATAGATTCTACCCTATGGGTTCACTAGCAGTTGGAATGGACTCAATGACAAGGAATTTAGTTTGGTTTTTATTTCTTTTAACTAATGAAATAATTTTACAAATATATAAACTACTCATAGGATTAGGAGGTTAAAATGTACAAAGGTTCAGATTATAGTTATCTATTGTATGATTTTTTTCCAGGATCACTTGACATAACTTAAAGCACTGTAAAAACTGAAATATGCACGAATGCCATTTTTAAATAAAGACAAAACAGACTTAACTTGGATTTATTTGAGTAGAATGGCTGTATCATATATGGCAAGCCATCAGTGACTCACTCCAGATAGAAACTATTTTTGTTTGGGTTTTAAACACAAGAAGGACCCTTGGTGGGTACTGTCAAGTAAGCATTGGTACACTAACTGAAAAGTCAGAAGTTCAAACCCACCAGCCACTTTGGGGAATAAATATGAGGCTATCTGTTCCAGTAAATACTTACAGGTTCAGACACCTTGTTATATAGGTTCACTACGAGGACATTGGGTTTGATTTGGTTTATGTACACAAGAGCTACAAATACATCCCTTAAGATATTACCTTAAGCTATTCTAGTTTAGGATCTAATTTGAGAGAAAAATTGATGAATTACATATAAATCAGATACTGAGTAAGTGGTTTGCACTAAATGTTTACATATACTGTTTCTCCTAAACTAAATTACTTTGATTTGAACAAAATTAAGTCTTTGGTGCCTATTAATTTCATTTTCAAGGTCTATTGCTTCAAGACCTTTTATTTTTATTCATTCTTCTACTCAACCAACACAGAGCACCTGCTACTTGCCAAGCAGTATTGTTGATAGTCATGAACAAGTCTGCAAAAGTCTTAGTTCACCCCGAGCTTAGAAATCAGATTACACACATACAGTAATATATAGTCTATATGCCATAAGTGCTAAAGAAAAAAGCAAAGCAGGATGCAGAGATGTGCTTTGGGGTGGGAGAGTGGAAATTCTGCCTAAGGTAGCCACTGCAAGTGATTACTACATTTGAGTAACAATCTAAGGAAAGTGAGGTTGTAGAAATCTGATGGGAAAGAATTCCAAGAGAAATAGCAAGTACAGTGTCCCTAGGCTAGCTGTGAGGAGCACTGAAGAAGCCAGTAACCAGAGTATCAGATTAAGAGAACAAGATGAGGTCAGAGAGGTAATTATGCAGGAGTTCGGATTATGCAGGGACAACTAGATCACAGTATGAATGTTGGCTATTAAACTTTGACTTCTGTAAATATGATAGGAAGTCACTAGCATTTTTGAGCAAAGGAGTATTATAATCTGACTAAATTTAATTTAAACAGGACCATTCTGGTTGATCTTGGTGCAAAAAGATTCAAGGCACACAGAGACAGAAGCAGGGATCCAGCTAGTGCCATAACCCAGGTAAGAGATTGTAGTAGCTAGGTCCTGGGTGATGAAGAGTGATCAGTTTAAAACATCTTTTAAAGGTAGAGCTATCAGGCTTTGCTGACAGGATTCGGTTGTTGATATGAGTCAAGAATGTCAAGGTTTTAGTCCTTTGCAATGGGAAAAATGGAGTTGCCATTACCTGAGATGGACCCACAGGTGGTGTTGGGCACCCTTCATGTAAGAAATTCTTACACTGAAAAGCATTTCCTAAAATAACTTACAGAGCCCTATTGGCACAATGGGTTATGAGTTGGCCTGCGATTTGATGCTCCTGAGGAAAGACAAGGCTTTCTATTCCCATACAGATTTATAGTCCTGGAAACCAACCGGCAGCTCTACCATAGGGTTGCTATAAGTCAGAATTGATTTGATGGCAGAGAGTGAAACAATGACTTACATGTCCCTAGAGACGGAAGCTTTCCCTTTTAGCAAAAAAAAAAAAAAAAAAAAGGTCATATTCTTTTACTCCTTTAACTCTTAGAAATGTAATTGCTGTAAATGTTAACATCATTGAAAGACGCCAGTGAATAATCTAATAGCATAGAAGCTCAATCACCTTTGGCAATGGAACCAAATTGGTTCCAAATTGGAAGCCAGAAAAGATAATGTCTAGTATATAGGTTCCCAAACTTATTTGCCCTACTGCTCTTTTTCAGGGGGAAAAAAAGTTACTCAGCACCTCCCTGGCAATTAAAAATGTTTGTACTATAGCCCATAATCCAGGATAAAGTGCATTTGCTGCCACCCCCACCCCACCCCGATCATTCCAGCATTGTCCAGGGGGTGGAATTATCCACTTGGGGAAACAGTGATACCAATTCAAGACTCATCACAGAAACCATAGTCAAATGTAATACAGGCCCTGTAAAAGGTTCCATTGCCAGTATTCATTTGACGACAGAAACACCTATTAATGTGCCCAGGCACATATTTCACAGAAAACTACTCCAGTCCCACGAAAGGACTACACTGCTTTCTGGTTCAGACTTCTGTCTTTTGGTCTCTCTGCCTGGCTGGCTCCTTTCCTCAACTCAGCTTAATGAAAGCCTTCTTCCAAGTCTCCTAAGCCCTGAAGTATGCCACATCTCTTGCCTGCCCCTGCCATTACATCATCCTTCTCCACACAACTGATCTCTTGTGGCTGGATTTACAGTTGTTGATTCCATCCGGTTGAATTTACTCCAACTCATGGCGACCCACTGAATTTAATACATCATATTACAATGACTACCTAGAGCCCTGGTGGCACGTTGGACTACTAACCATAAGGTCAGCAGTTTAAAATCACTGGTCACTCCATGGGAGAAAGACAGGGCTTTCTACTCTCATAAAGGGTTACTGTCTTGAAAACTCATAGGGGCAGTTCTACCCAGTCGTTATGAGTCAGAATCAATTCAACAGCAGTGCATGAGTGAACAATTACAATGGCTTGCCTACTTGTTTGTCTTCTCTCTGCGACCCTGGTAGCACAGTGGGTACTGCCCCGGGCTAACCCAATGTGGGTCAACAGTTTGAATTCACCAGTTGCTCTTATAACCAAAAGGGATAGGTAGTTTTACTCCATTCTATAGAGTTCCTATGAATTGGAATTAATTTGATGTCAGTGGGTTGTCCATCTTCTCTGAGGGTAGGAATTTTTGTTTATTGCTCAATGCTTATTATATTTGGTGTTCAATAGTCTTGAATGAATTAGCTACTATATACACAGAGCTTAAAAGTAATGTATTCTCCATTATATTTTCTTTTATATTATTTGCAGTATTTCCTCAGATGACTAGGTGGTGTTAGCATAAATTGACTAATGAAATCTCACTCTCACTAGGTTAATCTTTAGCTAGTTGAAACATTTTTCATTCAGGAACGCACAACTTTCACCATATTCTGTACCCAGAAGCTTTAAAACCACAGTAATAAGACAAAAAAGGGGGAGGGAGGAGGAAGGGGGAAAATGAGCAAATGATGTAGAGGGCAAATGTTTTGAGATTGATGAGGCAACAGGTGTACATGTGTGCTTGACTCAATGGATGTATGTATGGACTGATAAGAATTGTACGAGCCCTCAATAAAATAATAATAAAAAAAAAAGAATAATGAGGGTAACAAATGTACAAATGTGGTTTATACAATTGATGTATGTATGGATTGTGATGAGTTGTATGAGCCCCCAATAAAATGACTTTAAAAAAAGACATAAATAAATCTCAGGGACTTAAAGCAAACAAAAAAAAAGACAAAAAAAAACTAAAACCAGAAAAACCACATAGTATCTTAAACCTCTCACTGCCCTTCCTGAACTCTCATGTCACTTGGGTCAAGTAGTAAAGCACTTTGTTAACCTGTTACTCATTGGTTGACTTCTTGTCAAGACTGTAAGTCACTCGCGGCAGGTGGAAGTACATCCACCATGACTAATAACTCAAAAGATTTCTGGCCCACTCAATGAAAAGTTCTGAAAGGTCTCTACTAAGCCAGGTTAAGACCTAGTGGTGTGATGGTTGGCTCAACATCGTAGGTTGTGACCTCGGATCCCGTGCTAAGACTGATCAACTGCACACAAAACTTTTCACCTATTGCCAAAGAATCAGGAGCTTTCTGTCGCTTTATTTCTAAAACTGACAAGCGAGGTCTGTACACTGGACAATTATTTTTTCATAATAAAATCCTGACGTAATTACCACCCCATTTTCGATTAATTAAAACACGTCAACAGAAGAGTAGAAACACTGGCCTAGACATGGCTTTGCTGTCAAATGCAACAGGTGTTGGTTTCCTGCACTGTTCATGAATGGACATCCCACCGCCACAGCCACTGCCACCCCCACCCCCAATTCCAATCTGAAGTAATTGCAGATTCTCCTGCACAGCGGATGATTGAACTTTCACTGCTTAACCATCTCCAACAGTTTAATTGCTCGCAATAGCGAACTCCGTTTAAAAAAAAAAAAAGCTGGGGGGCGGGGGAGAGAAGTCTCCACATTCCTGGGCTCCCTCATATTGCTTTTACAAACTGGGCTTTCAGAAGCAAAAGGCTCGCCAGTATTTTCAATTTCATAATCTCTTTTGAGAGGGATCGCTCAAAGGATTTGCATTATTAACCAGGCTTCCTGTATAGTCTGGAGCCAGCTCTCAAATCAGCTCTTTGAAAACAGCATCTCAGCTCGACCTAGCAGACACGAGTTACTTGCGGTGAGAGGCTTTGCCATTTAAGCAAAGGTGAAACGTGACATAACTTTATAAAGTCCGAGGAACCTGGAAGATAGCCCTTCTGGGGGGCTTCCTCGTGGCAGTCATTTCAGCTTCTCAGAAAATCTCAACGAGTGAAGGAACTCAAGAGCCCACCCTTCTCCAGGAGCAGCAGGGAAAGAAGTCCGCGGGGCTCTCAGCCCAGAGGGTTTGGGTAGGGCGACCCAGAAGAAAGGTCCGACTGAGACCAACGTGGATCCCTCTGGGGCGCCTCAGGCTGCTTAGAGAGCCAGGCTCCGAGGGGACACCGTGGGGAGTCTAACCTGAGAGGCTGCGGGCACTTGCTACGGCGGGAACCAGCTTGGGGGTGGAGAGTAGCCAAGGCATGACGGCCTCGCTCACGCTTCAGGAAGGGAAAGAAGAAAACGGTTGGGGAAGCTGCCGCCCGCAAGGCCGCGTCGCCAGGAAACCGGGCGATCGCCCCGCCCCTTCCGGATAGAGCTGCTCACAGGGCTTTCCACCCGCGCCGGCGCAGTGTGTTGACGTCACGCCCAGCGCTGTGACCGGCGCTTCGGCCGGACGGCCCTAATCACGTCATGGCGTCATGCTTCGCTTGATGCGCATACTCACAGGATGCGCTTTAAATGGCTCCTTGGAAAGCTTGATACCTCCAAAGAGCCCGCATAGGGGGAGTCCACTCATCCAATGAACTGGCACGTGCCTAGAGAGACAGGCAGCAGCACGGGCAGCCACACTTCTAGAAGGTTCTAGTCAGTGCGCAGGAGCACAGGTGGCGGGGGTAGAAATGAACGAGCGAAGGACCCGGGGTCACGAGACAATTGGATGGGCGGAGCCAGCGTCCGGGGCGGTTCCAGTCCGTCCAAGCTCGCGGCAACCGCCCCCTTCTGCGCGGTCACGCTGATCCAGCTCCCGGACCTGGAATCGGGCCACAGCCTCCAGAGCCGCGCCCTCGTCTTCCCTCCGCCTGCCGACCATGGATCCCCGCAAAGTGAGCGAGCTGCGGGCCTTCGTGAAAATGTGTAAGCAGGACCCAAGCGTTCTGCACACCGAGGAGATGCGCTTCCTGAGGGAGTGGGTGGAGAGGTGAGACCCGGGCCTGGGGACGGGAAGAGGAAGGCCGGCCGGAGGCGGAGCTGGGCCGCAGCCAACGTGGGGCCTGCACGAGCGGGGTCGCGGCCGCAGCCGCGGGGGTGGCAGCCAGGGACCTAACTCTGAGGCCCACTCTCTGGCCAGCAAAGGGAGGCGACTTCGTGGGGGCTAATGGAGGGTCGGGAGCCTTGGCTAATCCGGGCAGAGCTGGGCCCCCGCCCCTTCGGTCGCTCGAAGTTTGCCTTGAGCAAAATACCGACGCTAACGGCTGTGAGGCGGGCGTGAAGCTCGTGCGCGGAGTGAGTTGTGCTTTTTTTTTTGGGGGGGGGGTGCCCACATTTGATCGCCTTGACGCACAGGACCTCTTCTTTGGCCCTTACCTTTAAATAGTTTTATTAAACCGACTTATTTAATAGTCTTGTAAATGACCGTCATCAGAGCAGCCCTTTTGAATTATTCTTAAGTCTACACTGATCCATCTGCGTAGGATTGTCTTGGCCGCCGTGGTTCTGTCACCGTTGGTGGCAAGGGTAGTGCTTCAAATCCGCCAAGAGTAAGCAAAAATGGATTTTCAAGGGCCGGCATGCCTCTAGGATCGATTTGTGTTCTTAAGTGGCTCCTTACGTGCCCAGAATTAATTGACCAGGCGCTGTGCCAGGTGCTGGGAAACAGTAGTTTCAGTCAGTCTACTTTGGGGATAGGAAATGAATGCAGAGAATTTTATCCTGGTCTTTTACTGTGTGCTAGAGAGCCCCAGGAGAAAGAGGAGGGTTTCCACGCCTGTAGAGTTTTGGAAACCCACAAGGAGCAGTTCTATCCTGTCCTATAGGGCTGCTGTGCTAGAGATAAGACACTCGGGGAGAGGGAGTGGGCCGGAACTTTCCTCCAGGACCAGATTCTACAAATCTTTCCTATGGGTGGGGAATTTTTGAAGAAATAGCATACTAACTGTGCCCAGAGATAGATAACGTGGATCTTTATTTTAGTGATAGTGTTATAGCAGATGAGATGGGTTGCCAACTATTCTGATATTTCAGTAAGCTCCTAAGGAAGAGGAGACAAGTTTGTTTATCAACATTGTATTTGGTGGTATGATCATTTCTTTCCCTAAGTTTTTTGTTTTTTCTTTGCCACCCATTTCCAGCTACTGCAGGATGCTTGCCTCTATGGCTTAGAATTCTGAGAACATTATAAAATTGATTGGTATAGTGAACGCCAGGACTAGACTGCCCTTATTCTAACCTACTTAATGCTAACTCCACTCCTCCATCTTGCAGGCTTTATGTCTTTGACAGGGTTCCAAACCAAATCCTCTGTCACCAAATCCATCCTGACTTGTACCCACTGCCTTGGAGTTGATTCAGACTCTCAGCCATTCAGTAGAGAGAGGGTTTCTGAGACTTTGTGCATCTGTATGGGAGCACACATCTTTCTCCTGCACATCAGCTGGTGGGTTTGAACCTTACAGTTGTCCAACTCTTAAGCCTATGGTGTTTCCAGAGCTCCACAAAAATAGGCTATCTGTTCCCATTAGAATGTATAGCTTCAAACAATTTCATGTTGGGCCCTTATGGGGCTGGTGGGTTTGAACTACCAGCCTTGCATTTGGTAGCAGCCCAGTGCTTAACCCACGATGCCACTAGAGCTCCTAAATCGTCTATTCTGTTTTATAAACTCTGTTTCTTAAGGAGAAAAGTCTGCAGATTGCTGTTAGTAAACCTAAATGTTCCCAGATTCTAGATTTTTAAATTTCGAATTAGGTGACCAGCCATTGTCAATGGTATAATTTACCTTCTCCTTTTTGGGGGGGGTAGGGGCACATAAATTCAGGACTGGTAATTAATAAATTGTTCCTAAGATTCTAGGTAACGCTAACCCGCAACCACAGGAAGACATCCATCACCAAAAAGGAGCATTGTGCCATTCCATCCAGAGAGCGAGAAGGGAACTGAGAACAATGTTTTAGCTTAAGCTGAAGTCATTATGGTTACCAAGTGGAGGGAAATAGTATGTAAGATATTGCGTTTCCCATCCAAAGTTACCATGTGTCTTCTTTATGGTTACCAAGTAGTGGAAAATATTATGTAAGGTATTGCTATCTCCCCCCCCCCCCCAAATTACCATGTATCTTCTTTGAATGTTTCTCATTGGTGATTCTGATTTTCTTTCTGGGTTCTTCCCTTTATCTTGTAGTGTAAATAAACCATGGCACAAATGAGTGATGATAGATGAGTGCTATCATACTGAGAAAATTATGAAAGGTCTTTTGTGGTCCCTTAATCGTATGAGGGGACTTCAGAAAGTTGGTGGGGGGGAAATGGAATTACAAGACAGTGCAATTTTTCTGCGGACTTTTCTAAGCCCTTCCTTCCCCCTCCTATAACCCGAAAACATCATTGGCACACCCTAAATTACAGTTTTCCAATTTGGCACAGGAAACTCCCTTCTAAATCTTGGGAGCATTAATGGAAATTGTATTACCTATAAGCTGGTGCTGCCTTCTAGTAACTAGTAGAATTTGGAATGTGAGTAAGCACACACACAACACATAGCTGGCCTAAGGAGTGAATGAGGTAGCAATTGTACTTGTTTACCAAAATATAACAAAACTCATGCCGTATATATTATTTGTGTAAAAATAAGCTTTTTTCTGAACACCATTGAATATTTTACAGTATATAAGTTAGGATAGTCTCTACAACGGAAGGAAGAAACACTGGAAATTCAATGATGCTTTAATACTGTGGAGTCCTCTGAATTACAGGTTGCATTTGGTTGCCCTGTCTCTTAGGCCCCTTTATTCTGAAATAGTACTTCAGTCTTTTCCTGACCTTTCAAGACCTTGATAATTTTGAAAATTACACGCTAGAATTTCTCTTAATTTGGGGTCAGCTTATTTCTGAAGTTTAATTCTGCCTCATGGGTTTTTGTTTTGTTTTTCCAAAACCATTGTATTGGGAGCTAATACAAATATATCATTCCATAGTTCAATCACATCAAGCAGTATTGTAACAATTGCTGCCATAAAACGTTTTAAAAAAACAAAAATCTCTTGGGGAGAGGGAAGGAAAAAGTAGCTGATACCAAGGGCTCAAATAGATTGTTTAGAAAATGATAATGGCAACATGTGTATAAATATGCTTGATAACAATTGATGCATAGAATGTTATAAGAGCTGTTAGAGCCCCCAATTTAAAAAAACAACAACCACCACCTCTTAGGTATAGGTTCATTGAAGGAGGAAAAGGGGGTGGAGCACAGGTGGGGGCAATAAAATGCTTTGCTTCGTTTTTTTCAGGGGGGGTGTGTGCCCCCTTTCAAGGAAGAGGCAACTTCTTCCCAACTACAAAAGCAGCAGAAAGTAGCCAGGCCGAGGAGGGGAGGAGGGAAATCGGAGGGGACCCCGAAGCATGCCCCTTGGCAGGAGCTATAAGCTTTCTGCCCCCGCTTCCAATGCATCTACCCAAAGGGACCCACTGGGCTTAGGAAACAGCTATATACAAGAGTGGGGGCGGCACTGGGCTTTGTTGGGGAGGGAATAATTTATCCACAGCAGCGGTGGGTGGCAAGGGGGCAGGGAACAGTAGCATGGTGGTCGTCGTGGCCTACGGGTCCTGCTCTTTATTGATCTTAATGTCTCCAGTGAGGATGGTGGTAATCTTGCCCCACATGAAGGCCCAGGGGGCAGAGGAGCCCACGAGCGAGTACTTGTCCTACTCGGGCAGTACACCACACCTGCTGGTCCCTGCGCCTTGAACTTCTGCAGAGCTGGCAGGTGACCTGCCCAGGACCCCCACCTCCACTAGGGTCCACGAGGCCCAGGGAGTGGCCCACCCAGGGCTGCAGCAGCCGGCTCTGGGTACTGCTGGAGCTGGGCCTCGGCTGGTGTGGACCCGGGCAGTGAGCAGCTAGCCTAGCTGGTGCCATCCCCCAGAGCCATGCCTATGCTCATATTCCAGGTACTTGAAGCCATAGACTAGGGCCTTGCCTGGTTCCTGTAGCAGATCATCGAACATCTGTCACGCCACAGCGAGGACTCCCACGCCGACAGTGCCCTATCCACACAGCTATTTGGTAAAGAGTTTCAGCTCAAACTCGGAGCCTGGAGGGTGGGCAGCAGCAGCAGCAGTGAAGGCAAACACTCGACCGACCAGCCTTTGATCCTTCTTGAAGCGGTGTTAAAGGGGACCTCTGCCAGTCCTCTGCTCGACCCCTTACGGCCTCCTTCAGTTCAGCTGTTGCTGCTCAAAAGTATGGGTGGGCAGGACTCAAGCCGGTGGGGGGCCAGCGTCAGACTTCCACTTCCCTGGCCGGACACTGCTGCTGCTAGTAGCCCGGGAGGCACCAAGCTGGCCACAAACCAAGCAGAGCCCATCACAACCCCTTGGCCACGGCTTCTTGGTCTAAGCGGTTGGCCGGGCAGGACCCCAGAGTGTACTCCTGGGCGGGTGAGGGCAGTGGGAGGTGACCTCATGAGGTGGCTCTGCCATAGTTGCTTGGCCCCTGAGATGCTGTGCCTGCTGAGGCCCCTGCGTGGCAGCTGCTGCCACGTCCTCGGTGGATGGGTGCTTAGGGGTTGCAGGGCTGAGCAGGCAGCTGCACATGAGCTGGCAGGCAGCTTGATGCGGTCCGAGCCTTCAAAATTAACGCATCCCACACCATGACCCAGGGCATCGGGCAAGTCGCACAGGTAGCACCACTGGCAGTGGGATGCCTGCATCGATGCCATTGCTCTCTTGCGCCTGGACCCCGCCGCTCCGCCCTCTTTGGACATTCAATCCGCAGGATAGCGCCCCGGCCTGGCCTCCCCAGGCCTGGCCCCACTTCCCTGCTCCCTGTGCCGCCTTTTGCTTCTCTTGCCTCCCCTGAGAATGGCAGTGCCCTCCGCAGCCCGGGCTTGGGGCTTGCTCTGGGATGTGGGCTCCCGCCACTTACCTTGCCACCCCTGCCGCTGCTCTCCTCTTAGGTTTTTGACAGAAAGATCTTTCCTAAAGTTTTGGCGGATGTCACCTTTAAATACATTTTAAGGTGGTGTATTTTGAGGAAAATACTGCATAAGTATTTAGGAAAAACTGTAAGAAGCTCTCAGTCTTCATTAAAAATTAACTGCAAAGAACAAGCATTTTATTACTACGCCCCTTTTAAAACCGTTTTTCTTATTGTCAAGGATTTTGTTCTGCTTGGATCACCAATCAATGCCCATGGAAGAACCACTTAGGAAATCAAATCATGTGCTATATTGGACAGATGTGCAACAAAACAACCTCTTCAAAGTTTTAGAAATCAAAGAGGTCACTCTGACAAAAAAATAGTTTTTCTTTTTATTTTTTAGTAGTTTTATTGCTATATACTTCACATATCAAACAATTCCAATCAATCATATTGAAAAATAATTTTTCTTTAGAACAGAACCTTAATAACTATTGTGGTAGCAATGTGCTTATTGTTTCATTGTTTTGCTGAATTGCAAGTGTAAATGTTTTAGAGCACACAAACTTACGTTAAACAGAAAAAATTACGCAGTTTTCCCCCCTAAATTTTGTTGAGAATATACCCATCAAAACATCAATAAACAGTTTTCACATGTACAATTTAATGACATCTTGCATTCTTTGAATTGTGCATTCATTCTCACTCTGATGTTTTGAATTATTCCTCCTTTGTTGATATAAACTCACTACCTCCTAAGGTTACTATGTAATCTTTCAAGTTGCTGTAGTCAGTTTAATCTCATTTGTTGCTGTTTGCTGTTATCAATTTGAACCTAATTAAATTCTTAAAAGCGTAATGCTCGAGGTAGACCTTTACTAGATAAGTTAAACTCATGATTTTAAGACTTTTAAGGGTTTGGTTTAAGGTTTAAAGATGAGCTCAGGGAAATGATTTGAGGGGCTCGTCCAGCTTTTGTTGCTCCACAAAGCCTAGAGTTTGTGAGAATTTGAATTTTGTTTTGCATTTACCCCTTTTTAATATGGATTCTCCTGTACAATCTATGTCCCAAAAGTGCAGTAATGATACATTCAGTCATTATCCAGTTCTTATGGTCTCATGGGAAAGGAGACAGTTTTTCATGAAGGCAATTAATTAGCCACAAATTGACTGGCCAGTTGCAATCTTTTAAGATCTCAGGCCCTATGCATTGAACTAGGAGGTAGAACAGAAGTACTAACTGCTATTAAGCCAGTTAACTGGGATGTCCCACGAAACCATGACCCTAAACCTCCAAAGTAAGTTGCCAAATTCCATAAGGTGTTTGGTTATACATAAACAGCTGGACCAATCGGTAACATCCATGGTAAACGAAGAAAAGCTAAAAATTGTCAAGAATTTCTTCTTGGACCCAAAGATTAAATTATGCATTTCATTGGGTAAATCTGCTGCGGAAGACCTCTTTAAAGTGTTGAAAAGCAAGGGTGTTACTTTGAGGACACCTTATCCAAGGTGCACCTGACCCAAGCCAGGCAATTTTCAGCAGCTTCATATGCATGTCAAAGTTGGACATTGAATAAGGAAGACCAAAGAAGAATCAATGCATTCGAATTACTGTGCTTGTAAAGAATAATGAAAGTACCACAGACTGCCAAAAGGACAAGCAAATCTCAGAAGTACAGCCAGAATGCTCTTTAGAGACAAGGATGACAAGACTAGTATGTTCTTTGGACATGTTGTTAGATGAGACTAGTTCTTGAAGGAGACATCATGCTTGTAAAGTATAGAAGGTCCTCAATGGGATGGATTAACACAATGGGCTCAAGAATAAGGACTAGTGTGAGGATGGTGCAGGGTAGGCAGTGTTTCGCTATCTTGTACATGTTATCTCATGAGTCAGAACCAACTCGCTGGCACCTAGCAGTAGATATGTGGAGAGGAATGCAACTTCAAATGTGGTAACACTCCACCCCTACCAGAATGGCTAAACATTTAAAAGATGGACAGTAGCTCACTGATGACCAAGGTGTGGGATTACTGGAACTGTTTCCTGATGAAAATGTGAAATTGGTTAAAGAACTTTGGAAACTTATGTTCATTTCAGTTCACTCTACACATACCCATGTCCAGAAATTCCATCCAGCTGAAACGAATGTGTATATGCTAACTTGGTTTTCAAAGAATGACACCTGGGTGTTTTTATCTAGGTCGCTTTTCAGGTTAATTTAATGTTTATTAAGTAACGGACTTTTTTGTGTTAAGGTAACTTTTAATGACACCTTCTGACCTAGAGTTTTGACGGATGTGGTATTTCCTTAGATCCACTGTACATTTCAGTCACTGGACTGGTGCTTAGTGCCTGCATGGGAGTCTGCACGGAGTGGACTGTGTTAACACTTCCTAGTCTGCTTTCTTGTTATTATTTGTACATAATTGATACTGTTGTCTTAGAGTGGTAAGGAAAAGGAGGGTTTGCAAAGCCAGGAGGATAAGGGGACAATCTAGTGTGGGAAATGTGAGTTTAAGAATTCTTGCAGTTTTAAACAATTAACATTTTACATTGTTCCACTGTTGCTTGGTAAGCTGCCTCTTTGGGTTTAACCAAGCTTAGATGGTGCAAGTGATTTACGGTGGGCTTCTAATAGAAGACTTGGCAGTATGAATCTAGCTGGCAGCACCATGGGTCTATTTCTGCAAAACTGGTTATTGAAAACCTCTGACCTAAATGGAGTGACTGGGAGTTGGAATTGACTCAACAGCAACTGGCTTGGGAATTTTGTGTTTATTATTGCTAAAGGTCATCTTTCAAAGTTGGAATTGAGTATATTTATTGAATTTTAAACTCCCAACAAATGAATTCTGTCTGTGTTCACCACTGGCTTCTCAGCTTTTTCCCTTTCCCCACTGGAATTGGGATAGAAACATTCATGGTTATGTTTGTTAAGTTCATTGGGGCAGGAAATAAGTTATGCTTTACTTAAGCAATATGCTGAAGTTGAATAAAATTTTAAATTAAAAAAACAGCCATGATATCAAAGCATTCAAGTTAATTGAGCATTTACTCTTAAGCATTGGAAAAGGTAAGCATCTGATTGTCTAACTTCCTTTTTTCCTTCTTTTTTAGGTGTAACATGTTGATTGATTTAATTGATTATAGTTTTCTAAACAAATAATGTTTTTTCTCATCTTCTCAAGCATGGGTGGTAAAATACCACCTGCTACTCATAAAGCCAAATCAGAAGAAAATATCAAGGTAGGTTATGAATTTTATCTGTGTGTTTAATGATAAAGGACTTGGACCATAAGTTTTCGTAGGGCTGTATTTTAACTATTGTTCTACAGTTAACACACCTCATTTTTCCCAAGTCCAATTGGAAATAAGATCTTTGTACAGTTTCTGCGTTAAGATCAAATCTCTAACATCTGATTTGAAACCCAGCATTATGTGTTGGCTGCTTGCTATGTTTTGGTAATCTCCGTAAGGTTGTGCTGCTGTCATTTGCATCATGGTGACTTTAGCACCTAGTGCAGTGTCTGATCCATTAGAAGAACCTTCTTAATATTTGCTAAGTAAAATGGACAAGTAATCCAAATCAGTAATTAATATTTTTTCTTACTCAGCCACCTGAGGGATAGCTCAGCTATTTATCAAAGGATTTTATGTAAGAGCCTTTGCCAGTAGCTGAAGTTTAGGCATGAGGTGAAAATGCACTTTCCCAAATACACTCTTCAGAATTCTCTGATCTCCCTTACCATCTTCATAACCAAGCCCCACCCCCACATTTGTAATTACCTCTCTTAAATTGATAAGAAATTAGCAGTTTTACTATTTTTTTAAACATGGTTCATTTATTTTGATAAGGAAATTTAAGTTATATCTATAAACAACTGAAATGAGAAAATTTAAACAAACGCCTAACAAGTTGCTTTCTTTGTAGGTGAGCCAGTTATCAGAGTTTGGTCATTTGTGAACCATAGTTAAAATACTATACCATATAATAAACCTATATGAAAGCAAAATTCTGTTTAACTTGTATCTCTGCTAATTGTTTTTGTACCAACATTTTCACGTAGAGTTATGATTGGTGATATTCTTGGTATAGGATAAAGTACACCTTGCACTTTGCACACAGTAGAGATTCACAGATATTTAATAAGGAGGGTTTTGATTCCAATTTTAAGAACCTAGGGGGAAGCAAGCTAAATAACTTCTACAGAACTTGTGATAAACTCACACAGTTGAATGAAGAGGTAGACATGAGCTGATAGATAATGGCATATTCAAGGTGGAGCTTTGTTATGTGGGAAAGGCAAAGTCCAGAGTTGTCTGATACACAGCGAGAATATCTAGAATAAGATACACCAAAAACCATGCTGGTTTCTAGTAAGGATGGGAAGGAAATATGCTTTGCATCATGTACACTTTTCCAGTTTTTATCCCTTGTATATTATTGGTTTCATTGTCCCTTGTTTGCAAGTTCTAAGAATGAAAGATAGGGAGCATTAACAAGTGAGGCGTGGTGTATACAAACGTACATGGATTTGTGTAAATTGATGTATATCAAAAACTGAAACAAACTTAATGCCATCAAGTCTGTTCTGACTCAACTGCCTCTGGGTTTCCAAGAATAAACATGGGAACAATGCTTTTTTTGATAACTATGGGTCAGATAGCCCTGTTTTTCTCCCAAGGAGTGGCTGCACTTAACCTTGGAGTTAGCCGCCCAGCACTATACCACCAGGACTCCTTAACTGGTTTATACAGTTGAGTAGTTCAGTCCTATGTATAAGATTGTCGGTGGTAATACCTTCAGAGTAAACAGATGATTCCTCCTTCAGTCTGGAAGCTCTGCCGAAACCTAGTCACTTTGGGTGACCCTGCTGGCATTTCAAATAGCAGTGACATAGCTTTCAGCAAACACACAAGCCACCACAGTCTGACAGACAAGTAGTGGTTGTAGTGTTAATACTGATACCATTGTTTGCCTTTCCTTTGGTAGGAAGAAAAAACAGATAATACGAAGACAGAGGAAAACCTAAAAGCAGATGAACCATCAAGTGAGGAAAGTGACCTAGGTACGGCGATGGTCTTCTGATAGGGTTCTGTGTTCATTTTGTGTTAAATGGGATACATCTAACAAAAGATAACGCGTGAGCCATGTAGGAAATCTAAAGTTTTGTACAGCTCTTTAGGCAAGAAATGCAATTAAGATTTTTTTGGCAGTTTCTGTATATTGGCAATGACTTGTAATTTGCACATTTATAGTGAACGATTTCCAACAGTTGTATTCATTTTTCAGAGTCTGATTAGGGAAATTGGTCACACGTGTGCATCAATTCATATTCAACCGTGAAATGAAAAGAGAAGGGATATATTAGTCTCCTGTTGTAAAGTTGTTGTAAATGCAAACTTTTTTAGTAAGGCTGTGACCTTTTTGTTGTTTACCCAACACAACTGGAGTAATAGAAACTAATTTTTTCACATTTATCTAAAAGTCTTTGACAGAGGTAATGAGATAAAAATATCAAGTCCATGCATTTTAAGGCCACAAGTTATCTCTGTAAATTTGTAAAACCTTTGAGGCCAGCCAATATAATCCTAATATGTACTGGACAATCTCTTAATACCATACAATTTATATTAAAAAAGAAAACATCCAATTTTTGAAATAGCAAGTCAATTTTTGAAATTATTAGGTATTCTGCTTTTTATGGACAATTGTTTGAGAGCTTTTTTTTTTGTAAAATACCTCTTTAGATCCTAATCATTTTCTACAATTTTCTTAACTTTTTTGTCAGTTTTCTATCTAAAAATTATTAAATGTGTGCACAAAACAGGCTGTTTCAGAGGTAGACAAAGCTACAAGTGCAGCTTCTGTTAAAAATGCTTGAATTATTTTTTGTTGGATAGTTAATTCTAATTTAGCTAATTTTAATTCTTTTTTGACTGCTAAAAGAAAGCATATTAAATTTATCAATGAATTTTCGTAAAATATGTCAGTATCCACTCTGTCAAAATTAACGATTGTCTTATTTGTGTTTTCTGTTTGCTACTTCTGCAGCACATCCCCATTGCCATTCATCCTGAAATTGCCAACGTCACTCTTTAGTGTCAATCCTTTGCTGTTTTGTTTTGCTACCTTGGAACTTGATAGTGCTTCTATAGTTTTTCTTTGTTTTAAATTCAGAGCTTTGTACTAAATTCTTTCTAACAATTAACTGATTAAAATTACTATTTCACTTTTGTTTAGATGAAAATATCTCATTTTGCAATCTACATAAAGTCTTTATTTTAAAGCATGATTGCATCAGTAGATACAAAAAAATTACTTGAATTAAATCAGATGGGTGACTGCGTTGTGGATGTGTTATACTAGTAACTGTGTCCCTGCCAGCATTCATACTGCAGGACTGGTGCACTCTTCATCTGGAGACTGGAAACTGGAATTTTAAAAAAATGTGTCATCAGTTAATTTATGCTAATTAAAGTAAAGTAGCAAATTCCGTTTATCAGTTGCACTAAGCTACATTTAAAAATAGTTAGTAGCCTCATTTGGCTAGTGGCTACTGCAGTGCACATCACAAGTCTTAATGTCATTTTGTCAACTTTGGCAGAAATTGACAAGGAAGGTGTGATTGAACCAGATACAGATGCCCCTCAAGAAATGGGAGATGAAGCTGTAGAGGTAAGTTCAGTGACAAGTCTGCTTATTATGAGGAAAATGAAAATTCCACCTTTAATAGTAATTTTCTAACATAGGAAAGGATTTGATTTTACTAAAAATATTCGTGAAATTTTCATTTATTTTAACCCCAATCTCTCAAATCCTTGTTATTTTCCGTTTTACCTTCTATTTCCATTTGAATCTGGTTTCAATAGCCTTTAGGACAAACTATAATATATAGTTCACCTAACATACTATGTACAAGTGGAACTTCCTATTACTAAGGTATTTATTACCAAATTGTTTTCCAAAATGATTTTGTCTCACTAGGAATAATACTCCCCTCAAGGTGGTGGAGATTGCTTCTTTGCTGGAAAGAGGGTGAAAAAAAATCTTAGATATTGTAATGGGTTAGTGGTCTTCCAAAGGATCATAGTATATAAATAAATATATATATGTATATATATATATATATATCATGATAATAGTATTGATATTTAGGTGGTTGGAAATGGGGGAAAGTGACGTCTTAAAAGATTACTTAGGGGGATGATGATAAGGGGTTGGGGAGGAAGAATGAGAAATGCTGTAGCAGTTTAAAAGTGGTTGGTGTGAGGTTGATTCGGCGACAAAAAGCAAGCAAGCAAAGGTAGAAACCAGTTTCAGAGGTTTATTTCAGAGCTCCCGGGAGGGAAGGGGGATCAGAGAAAGGGATGGGAGCCTCCTGAGAAGTCACACTGTCCAGGTGAGAGGTGGAGAGTTTTATAGGCCCAGTCTGGCAGGAGGGAGTAGCTGGGGAATTTCCCACTGCAGGTCCCGAGCTAAGCAACAGCATTCAAAGCTATCTGTAACAGTCAGTCTTCTGCACCTGGGCCTGAAGGCCACTGAAGAGAGGGGGCGGGGAAGAGTCTGGCCTCTCTTAGCTTCCTTGGAGTGTTTTCATCAGCTCTATCTCCTAGCCCACCTGCCCTGCTAACTCCCGCTTCTGCCTGACAGTTGATCCATATCCTCACCAACATTTGTCACTGTCGGATTTAATTTTGCCAGTCTTACTATGAAAAACAGTTATGTTCTTGTGGTTTTTGGTGTGCATCTTACTGATCTCATGAGGTTAAGCATTCAATGCTTACTAGTTATTCATAAGTAGTTGTAAAGTCTTGTTCTCTTGCCAGTTTTTTCCCTGGGCTGTTGGGTTACTGTTTTATATTCTGGATAGTAATTATTTGTTGTTTACAAGGACCTCACATACTTTCTAATCCTTTGTGGTTTGTCTTTCACTTTTATGTTGCCTCAGTAAACAAATTATTTTAATGCTATTAAATTGCTGACCTGTTTTGTTTGTTTGTTTTCAGAATAAACATCTTTCATATATGTGCCTTTTGAGCTTTGATTTTCCTCAGATAGAACTCTTGCGTGTCATGCTTGTGCGGGGACCATGCTAATCTTCTCTGTCTTGTTCCAATTTTTCTATATGTGCTGCCAAAGTGAGCACTGATGGTCTGTATTTTTTGCTTGTCTGTCTTACCATTGCTATAATGTCTTTTCCTTCTGATACTTAACCTTTTTGTCCCTGAACTTTATTTGTCGTTACTGAGGATATACAGAGCAAAACTTTTACCAATGCAACAATTTCTACATGTTAGTGACATTGATTACACTGCCAGCCCTGGACTCTCCTCACAGTCATGGCCGTAGCAATCGTGACTTCTTTCAACAATTTTCTAGTTTTCATTATATGCAGATGAGTCCATGTTCGGATAAGATTTATCCCTAGGTATTTTATTTTCTTCGATCTTTTTCTTTCTTTTTTTTAATCGTTTTATTAGGGGTTCATACAACTCTTATCACAATCCATACATACATCAATTTTGTAGAGCGCATTTGTACATTCATTGCCCTCGTCATTCTCAAAACATTTGTTCTCCACCTAAGCCCCTGGCATCAGCTCATTTTCCCCCTCCCTCCCCGCTTCCCCCTCCTTCATGAACCCTTGATAATTTATAAATTATTATTTTGTCATATCTTGCCCTGTCCGACATCTCAGGTCACCTACTTTTCTGTTGTCCTTCGTTCTCCGTATAAGTGAAATTGTTTGCCTAACTTGTTTTCAGATTCTTTTACTGGGTGTATAGAAGACAACCGATTTTGTTGTTTGGCTGACCTTGACTCTGCAACTTCACTTAATTCAATTCTTAACTCCTCAGAAGCTTTCTTGTGAAATCTTTGTGGGATTTTCTATGTATAGGGTCAAATCATCCACCTCTAGAGTTCATTTTACCTCCACTTTTCCCATCGGGGGACCTTTCCCTATTGCTTTGGTTATAGTTTCCTATTCAATATGAAATAGAAATGGTGAGAGTGAGCACCCTTGTCTTGTTCCTGATGTCAAGAGGAAAGTGCCCAGTCTTTCTCCATTAAGTATAATGTTAGCTATTGACTTTTCATAATGTTCCCTGAATCATGCTGAGGACTTTCCCTGGTACTTCTGTCTTTTTTAGGGTTTCCATCAAGAAAAGGTGTTCGCTTTTGTCAAATACTGTTTTACATCATATTGTTACAGAGATCTGTTCCTTAGTTCTATTGATAAGGTGTGATGATTGATTTTTCTTTTTTTTTAAATCATTTTTTGGGGGGGCTCATACAACTCATCAGAATCCATACATACATGCATTGTGTCAAGCACATTTGTACATTTGTTGTTCTCATTCTCAAAGCATTGGTTTTCTACTTGAGCCCTTGATGTCAGCTCATTTCCCCCCTCCCTTCCTACCCCCTGATTGATTTTTCTAATGCTGAACCAACCCTACATTTGTAGACTAAATCCCACTTGGTCATGACTCTTTCCATATGCTGTTGGACTGTGGTATTTTGTTGTTTTTGCATCTATATCCCTATCATTTATTGGCGTGTAATTGTTTTGTTTAGTTTGGGTATTAAAAGAATCCTTCCCAGTACAAGTGCTTCAATAGGTGTTTGCAGGAATAAAGAAGTGAGACCTTTCTTCTTTCGACATTCAAGTCCCAAACTAGCTTACCTCTTAGTGGGGAGATTGGGCTTTATTATTTGTGAGGAGCTAGGAAGGAGGTTATAGGACTAGGGCAGAACAACAGCCTGCTGTGCTTGAAATAAAGGGAAAGCAGGGGTCATGTGGAAAGCAAAGAGATTTATGTGGCCTAAGAGGTTAAAGTTCATTATGTTCCATTTCTACAATTCAGTTTTTTTAAAACTATTGTGTTTACTTCCTGCAAACGAGAAAAATGGGAGTTATGGCTTCCCCATCCTCAAGAAAACCCAACCTATTTGCTTCTCTCCTTTATCTTACTAAGTTGGCCTTCAATTTCTCCTTAGATAACTGAAGAGATGATGGATCAGGCAAACGACAAGAAAGTGGCAGCCATTGATGCCCTGAATGATGGTGGGTGAGCCTTTTTCTTTCCTGTATTTCTGTGTTAGTCCGAATATTCTCTTTCCTGCTGCTGTAACAGTTACATGACAGAAAAGTGGTAGAGAGCTCAAACATTTATTAACATAATCTCTACTCACTTTGCCTCCATTGATGAAGAGACAGGAAATAATTACCTTGCTCCATTGGTGAACAAATCCTGACCTGTCTGATTTCTTGACTTACCATCCAATTTCTCGACTTACCAAAGCCTCCGATTCTTGATTTACCATCATGGTTCTCCTCTAAGTGTGGGCTTTAAAAATTTGAAATGCTTTTCCACAAAGTACTATTAGGACAGTGGCCCTTAAATAAATATATTCCTACTAGCACCCTTGTTCATGGATTCTAGCCCCTGCAATTTCAGTCCTCTTTGAAACATCCTGTTAGAATGGGGGAGAACATTCAGTTCTCCCTAGAGTAGCAACCATGGAGCACTTATGCATTATATTATCTCAGAAATAAAAAGTATGGCTATTGTGTTTCCATATCACACTTAGCAGTATTAATTATTGCCTGGTACTAAATGATACAGAGGATGTGGCTCTGTGAGTTGAAATTGACTCTCTGGCTGTGAGTTTGGGACTTTTGTTGTCTGCTGTTTGTTTGTTTTGGTTATTACTGTGTTGTGGGTCGTTGGAGCTATACAAGGGAGAAGAAGAATCCATCTTCACACTAGCCCCAGACTCATTGTCACAAAGTATAAGTCTGGCCTGCCTCCATCCTCCCATGTTCATCCTGTTCTGACATAAAACCATCCTGCATAACACTCTACTTCTCTGCTGGATGCAATGACCACACAGAATTCAGAGACACTACTCTTGAATAAAGGGGTTTATTGGGGACGTTAACAAGCTACCACAATTCAGGATCAGTAAACAATAAGGAAAGGAAGGCATTGGTCCATAGCAGCACCTTTCAACCCACACTTAAGTCTATGATCCTGAGCCTTATAGCCGTGTCACCCCTGGCTTCTGCCTCTGTAGGCCAGGAAGCCTGCCCATAGTTGTGCCTCACAGTCTTTGTCTCAGTGCTGTTGCTGTGTTCTGTATCATGGTCTCCTTACCTCACCCTCTGGACTCAGCGTGGCGCCTGCTACTTCTACCGCTCCAGGCAGGGATTCCACACATGAGCGGCTGATGGCTCTTCTTTCTTGATTGTCCCAGGAATTCTCTCTCTCCCTGCTTCTAGGCTCTCTTAAGCTAAAGGAATGACAATTAAACTGACCCATCCCCCTCTATTAGTGTTTCACACACACTACATGCATCCATAAAACTCCAAACTGAGCCATGGAGTTGATGCTGACTCACTGTGACGCTATAGGACAGGGTAGGGCTGCCCTGTGAGTTTCTGAGACTCTTAAGCGTAGGAAAGTAGAAAGCCCCATCGTTCTCATGCGGAGCATCTAGTGGTTTTGAACTGCTGACCTTTCAAATCACAGCCCAGTGGGTAACCACTGTGCCACCAAGAGTCCTTACGTAATATGCATAGTCCCACCCAATCATTGGATAGCAGAGCCATGTTAGAAATTGAACCACACCTGTTGAGAGCTATACTTTCCAATTATTTTGAAATAAAAGTTAAGAGATTTGGAATAAAAAATAGATTGTGCAAGGTGGCGCTGTTGAGTAAGCATTGGACTGCTAACCAAAAGGCCTGTGGTTGAAACTCACCAGACACTGTATAGTAAGAAAGAAGTTATATATGCCCATAAAGATTTACAGCCACAGAAACCCTATATGATTCAGATTTGACTTCGTGGCAGTGGAGGCTTTGCGTCAGAGAGATTATTATGAAACCATATCCCCTAGGCCCATTCTTAATTTCTGTTACTTCATAGGTATATGGATTGAGTCATTTCCTTACCCAATTTGTCCCTCTGTTTACTTATGTATAAAACGGAAGATTAAGAGCACTTACCTCACCTGAAAGGAGCCCTGGTTACACAGGGGTTACGTGCTCACTGTTAACTGAAAAGTTGGTGCTTCCCATGCAGCAACAGCCGCAGCAGCTCTCCAGGAGAAAGACCTAATTAATGGCTACTGCCGTAAGGAGAACTGCCAAGAAAACCCTATGAGACAGTTCTTTTCAGTCACAAACTGCCTTGACAGTTCACATCATCGCAATGTGTGTTACTAGGGTGTGTGTAGCACATTAGTGTTTGCCAGAGGCTTCAGAGAGTTTGCTTACCTTTGAATTAAAGGATGAGAAGAATCCTTTGTTTAGCTGGGAAGATGGAGATGGCCCAGTAGATTTGGCAATGGGTTCATTGAATACATACTATTTAAAAGGTCAAATCATTCAGAAATGTGAGAGAGTCCTCCACTACTACCATTGCTTTGTGCCTCAGCCCAAATACACGTACCCTTATATAGTCAAGAAGGTGGGGGTGGCAAGTCAATTTGGTAGTGAGGTACAAATTTGGTACCAAAACGATCAGTTTTGAGCATACTAGTCTGAGTTGCTTATATCCTAGGTGGTGTAATTTGGAACTGTGTTCTTTGGTGCCTTCATGTCAATTTTGACTCCAAGCTACCAGTCCTGCAGCATCCTCACAGTTCTCATGTTTCAGCCCATTGTTGAAACCACTATGCCAAACCATTTTGTCGAGGGTCTTCCTCTTTATCACTGCCCCTCTACCAAATATGATGTCCTTTTCCAGGGACTGGTCTCTTCTGATAATATGTCCAAAGTACATGAGATGACGACTCCCTGTCCTTGCCTCTAAGGAGAATTCTGGCTATACTTCTTCCAAGACAGATTTGTGTGTGGTAATCTATGAAAGTTGCAATGTTCTTCTCCAGCACCACAATTCAAATGCTTGGATTCTTTTGGTCTTCCGTATTCATTATCCAACTTTCACATGCATATGAGACAATTGAAAATACCATGGCTTGGGTCAGGCACACCTTAGTCTTCAAAGTAACATCCTTGCTTTTCAACACTTTCAAAGAGGTCTTGTGCAGCAGCTTTATCCAGAACAATGTGTTGGATCTCTCGGCTGCTGTTCCATGAGCAATGATTGTGGATCCAGGCAAGATGAAATCCTTTACAACTTGGATGTCTTCTCCATTTATCATGAGGATACCTATGGGTGCAGTTGTGAGGATTTTGGTCTGCTTTACATTGAGTTATAGGCTACAATTATCAGTAAGTGCTTCAGGTTTGCCTCACTTTCAGCAAAACAAGGTGGTAACATCTGCAAATGTTGCAGGTTAATAAGCTTTCCTCCAATCCTATCCTAAAGCTGATTTCTTCATATAATCCATCTTCTCTGATTATTTGCTCCTTTTTTTGTTAATTGTATATGGGTGTCTGTCGCGGGGGGTGAGGGGGGCCACCAAAGAAAAAAGCAGGGATGAATGAAGAAGGTGAAAGTGTCCTTGGGTACTGAGAATGTCTGCACCAAGCTCTCCAAGCTACCCACTTGCTCTGCTATACACACGGGTTCACAAAGGTCAGCCAGGTAGTAAGAGGTTTGGCTGGCTGGGTTGCTACAGGGGCTGAGAAAAATTGACAGTTGGGGATGAACAGAGCCAAACAGAAGTAGCTTATGCTGCTGTTCACTGGAAAAGGGAAGTCCGTTAGCAAGATTGCTGCTGTCCCACTTTAAGAAACTTTGGCCTTCTTAGCCTTTAAATTGATTTTCTCGCTCCCAGTAAGTACAGGATAATCCTTCCTAGTGGAATCTCTGGTATTTGCTGAAGGAATCTTCCTCTGCTTGTTAACAGGTGGCCATACTCCCCAGACTCCAGCAATAGAACATTTTATTAGTATTTTTTTTAATACATTCGGAATCTTTCTCAGTGATTTCTGTTTTACTTCAGGTGAACTACAGAAAGCTATTAATCTATTTACTGATGCCATCAAACTGAATCCTCGCCTGGCAATTCTTTATGCCAAGAGAGCCAGGTGAGAACTCTTTACCCAATCCGTGGTGAATAATTTCCGATTAGTCATTTAATTAGAACTGCTTTAATGAAGGTTCCAAAGCTTTTGTTGTTTTAATATCTCACTTATTTTTCAGTGTCTTCGTCAAATTACAGAAGCCAAATGCTGCCATCCGAGACTGTGACAGAGCCATTGAAATTAATCCCGATTCAGCTCAGCCTTACAAATGGAGAGGGAAAGCACACAGGTAATAGAAGAATTTAATTGCAGTTAGATCACTTCCAAGTTTAAGTTGGAATTTATTATGCTTTGTTTTTAAGACTTGTTTAATTTCAAATAATATGTGCTTGTGTAAGGAATTGAGGGTTTATTTTTCTTCCTTTCACTCAAAGAAAATTGTTGTTCATATTATTTTGACCATGAAGAGCCAAGGGTGTGATAAGAATTGTCTCAAAATTACCTGTAAGAACAGTGATACAAGTATACTTACAAATTGTCTCTTACTTTCCCTTTTTAACTTAACATTGACCCACCAGTCCATTATCTATAGATGGAATACAATAGCATGAAACTACTTAATCACTGCTGGGCTACCTGAAAAATCAAAGGGAAAAATAAGAGACAGATGTCATGGGGTGGGAAGGGGCTGCTTAACGCTATGTGGGTATAGAAAAAGTTCACATAGTAGAACTTGATCTTTTTGATTCCTCATGGATCGTGTAAATTCAGCTTGTACTTTGCTTGTCTTAAGTTGGCCTCAGTCATTTCTCTTAGAGAAACTATGGCTGCTGCTTTTAACAGTGATGGAATTTAACACCCAAATTTGGGCACCAGATATATTCATTGCTTCTGATGTGTTATTTTTTTCCGTCATTTCAGTTGAACATGTAGGGGGAAAACTTTAAAAACGATTTTCTAAAAACCACATGAGATCTTGAATTTAGAGTGATAATTCTAATTAAAATTTCCATGAAATGTTTTTCTTTCTTAGTTTTGGCACCCTTCTCCCACAATCTTGTTCCTAATGTATTTACTTACTTGTATTATCCTATATATACATAAAATCCTTTTAGAGTTACAATCTTAAAAACAATTAAGTGAAGCTTAAAAGTTGGGAGTTTTGTTTTGTTTTGGAACTTTCTAAGAATGTGTCTTACATTATGTTCGCAATGCCATCTGCAATGTGTCTCTTAGTTTCTGATTGTCATCAGGTTTGGGATTTCCTTTTTCTCCATCTTTTCTGGTTTAATTTTATTTTGGAGTATGTGAAGCATTTATATGTTTTAAGAGTTAGACAGCTGGGTAGAGAGAGATTTCCAGACGGGTTTCATTTCTGTGCTATGTTCTTTTACCTCAGTCTTACTCATCTCTGCCTACTGTCAGTTTCGGGTTTTGTCTTTCTGCTGCTTGTTTCAACAGTGTTCTGGGTAGGGTTTCGCCTTTTATGTTTATTTCACCTCTCGTAGAGATGGGTTTGCTAAGTTTGCGTTGTGTTACCCTGTGTTTGATGAGTTGACATATATACTTTTGTTTAACCTTTCGCACACAATGAAGCCTGTGAGAGCTGGAACTCAGTGGAACCGCCTCTTCCAGGCTTCCTAAGTTTCCACCTTTGACAAGATGCAGCCATAGCCTTTACTCTTGCTCTCTTGCTTGAAGATATTTGGGTTTCTTTCTCTGACAAGTTTCCATCTTACAGATTCTGGCTTTAGTAGGCTTACTGTATTTTTATTTTTTTAAGTGTTTATTGGAACAGCAACTTTACATTATTCACAGAAGAAACTTAAACTGCTTTAGTTATTTGCAGATTAATATAGTGATTGAATTTGTATGTGAAAGTTTATAGTTCAGAATTTAATCTGAACATCTGTTGTAACATTCCTTGTATGTACATAATAAGGAAGGAAGATGCAATTTCATTTAGGTCCTAAAATGAGAGTTTAAATCTGTTCCAGACTTTTGGGCCATTGGGAAGAAGCTGCACATGACCTTGCCCTTGCTTGTAAACTGGACTATGATGAAGACGCTAGTGGAATGCTGAAAGAAGTTCAGCCGAAGGTATGTCAAGATAACAGAAGTCACCGCAGTAACCGCTGTAGTCTTTAGCTCCTGGCTCAAGCACCTGAAAAGAAATCAACCAGTTAGATAGTCTGTGATCGTTGAAGCTTTGCGTTTTCATACTTCATTTCTAGATAGAGAAATATGTATGGAAGGAAAGAAAAATAAAACCTATATGACCTGGTAGTATAGGTATAGACAAGGGGACTTCAGAAAGTTGCTGAAACATGGAATTGAAAGGTAGTGGAATTTGCCAGTGATCATTTTTAAGCCTTCTCACATAGTCACTACAATAAAGCATAACTTTTTTTTTTAAGTATCAATTTTTTCTTAAATTATAATGTAGAACCCAGAACAGCAGTATTCAGCTTTTAGATAGAAACAGTCAAAAATTATTGAATTTACCCTTTAAATTTAAATAGTAAATTCCTCAGCTCTATGGGAAGTTAGCTATTAAAAAATTACTCCCAAAGGTTTTAAGATAGTGGGAATCCTATTGAACTTACCTACCCACAAAGACTTCATTTGGGTTTTTCTTCGTATAACAAGACTAACTGCAAAACGATTGAGCTCATTTATTCTAAAGCATTGGGTTCTTTAAAATAATCATAAGCTAAAATGATTTTTGAATCTGAATCTTTTACTTGTTTCGTTCTTTGAAAAAAAATTATAGTTTTCAAGTATTTGGTTCTGACCATGTACACTTGCTTATACTCAAATACACATATATTTTCTTTAATTGATACAGCAATTCTGAGACTGGCTTCCACTCCTTTCTCTGGTTGTGGAAACAGTTAAACTGTAGCAAATGCCTGGTATAGGCTTTCCTAGTCTCTGCTTTATTGATAATACATGTTGCTACTGAACTCAGCTCTACCATCCAAATCTCTCAACACTGAGCTGTTGTGCAGTTTGAAAATTATTTGTTATCTTGAACTTGTTTGTTGTAACTCATTACAGCTAGCATCTCTCCACAAAGAAAAGTAACTCAGAACTGTAGGATTTGTGTAGACCTTGTTTGACTTTTGGGACAGACTTATTTTTTTGTATTTTTAACTTCCTAGGCCCAGAAAATTGCAGAACATCGGAGAAAGTATGAGCGAAAACGTGAAGAGCGAGAGATCAAAGAAAGAATAGAAAGAGTTAAGAAAGCCCGGGAAGAGCATGAACGAGCCCAGAGGGTAAGTTCCTATAGTTAAGCCCAGAAGGGAAAATACAGTAGAGTTGGTTTGTTTGTTGTTTTTCCTTTAACCATTTTATTAGACAAAATCCAGACATAAGACAATTCGTCAGTCATATCAAGAAATGTACAATCACTACCACCATCAGTTTTAAAATATTTTCTTCCTTTTTGTAGTCTTTGTTATTAGTTCCCAGTTACCACCTTACCATATCCCTCAGGAACCTTTAATCTAGTTATTGTCTATAGATTCACCCATCCTGCTGATAGCTGGGCCACCAAGGGGAGTTCTAGGCAGGATGTGGGGGAAAGGCCTGCCCCCCATAACTAATCAGGTTCGATAGGCATTATTGTACAATTGAAATATATAAAGATTATAATAAAGCCATAGAGAGCATGAGTGATATGAGAGATTGAAATAATGGAGTCAGACACATTTCATGGTAGCATGCTCACCTCAGCCCCGCTTGGTGGTCCACATGGAGATGGGAGACTGGAGGGCAAGAAAGAAGAGGTGGGGTGGGAAGGAGGACAAGGGGAAGGGGGGAACAGGGGAGAGAGGACCAGAGAGGAGAGGGAGCCAATGAGAGGCCAAAGGGAATCTTTATTGTTAACCAAGGCTTATATATCTTTGGTGGGCGTGCAAGCCCACTAATTACAGGTAAAGACATATGTCACAGGAAGGGGTTGTACTATAGGTAATACAGCGAGAGGGGGCCAATCTAGAGATATACAAGCAATAGAAAGAGGAGCGATTGGGAGGATACATGTGACAAGGTGGGCAGATCCTAGATTCAGGATGGCAGTCTAACTTTGGATGTCACTGAGCAGGTTTGATCTGTTCTCTCGATCTCCATAGAAACCATTATCAGTAGGGTGTAAACCCCACCCACCTACAGGGACCAGACTGACGGTCCCAATCCTTTAAGGAGAAGTAGCCCAGTGTCCTTAACAGCAGGGAGTGGACCCTACCTGTGATGGGACCATAGAGTAGTCCGGCAACTGACTGCCTTGGGGAGGATGTCTCTAAGCATCTGACCTCCCACCAAATGCTGGCAAATAGCCTCTGATATTTGGCCTATCTTTGGGGGAGACAAAGCTGGGGGAAAGTCTATTTATAATCCCACTGCAGGAGACTATCTTGGCCTCATCTTCCTGCAGTAGAGTTTTTAGATGTCATTCTGGTTCCTATTTCCTTTATTTGTTGGCTATGATTTATTTGTTCATTTAAAAACTCAGTTGTCATCGAGTCAATTCCAAGTCATACTGAGCCTGTAGGACAGAATAGAACTGCTCTTGCTCTGTGGTGTTTCCAGGGCTGTGAATCCTTTCAGAAGCAGACTACCACATCTCTCTCCTGCAGAGAACTTGGTGGGTTTGAACCATAAACTTTCTGATTAGCAGCTGAGCATTCAACCCTTGCACCACCAGACAGGTCTCCATCAGTAGGGTTACTACTACTACTTATGGGGGTTTACTCCATCATTCAGGAAAAATTTTCTGTAAGTTTATGTACCAGGCACTCATACAAGGTCAATATCAAATAAATTATAGTTACCAATTATTTGGAACTAACCATGTACCAGTGCTTGATACACAAATACACAGGTATTTTCTCTTAAACCTGTAGCATTTCTTCCTGAGACTGACTTCCACCCTTGGGGATGGTCCTACCTATCCTTTAGGAGCCCTAGTGGTTATACATTGGGCTGTTAACCACAAGTTCAGTTCAAAGCCACCCCCTCTCCAAGGGAGAAAGACAAACTTTCTACTCCCGTAAAGAGTTATAGTTTCAGAAATCCACAGAGCCAATTTTACCCTGTCCTGTAAGGCTGCTATGAGTTGGAATTAACTCAGTGGCAGTGGATTTAGGGGTCTTGACCCATACTCATCTCTCCATTTTTAGTATTATTTTCAGTCTCTAAATTATTGAGATTAGATTTTGCCAACTGTTTTGTTCCCTTGTAATATCAGGGATTTTTTTGCCAGACAAGTAAGTAAAACCTGATTGTATTGTTAATTATTTTCTTCAGGGTGCTTGTCTTCACCAAATTTGTCTATGCACAATCTTCAGCAGTCGTGTCTCGGGGTGGTGGGCATCACCTAGTGCCACATTATTAGAACAAAGTGTTCTTGTGTTGAGGGAATACTTAAGTAGAGGTCCAGAGTCTGTCCACTGCCTCAATGTATTTCCATATAAATATATGTACATTAGACCAATACCCCTATTTTTATGCATTAATGTATTTACACATACTCTGTTTATACCTCTATAGATAGTTTTGCTTCCTAGTTCTTTCCTTTATTATTTCCTCCTGTCCCACTGTCATGTTCACCCCTCGTTTGCGCCTCAGTAATTCCTACCAGGAACTCTATCTCCCCCCCACCCCCTTCTTTGCTATTGATTTTAGATCCCTAGTTGTTCCCCTGACCATGAACTTGTTTGGTCGTGCGCCCCTACCCCTCACCACCTCCTCCCGCAAGAGTCCCCTGGGACTGTCGGTCCCATTGCTTTCTCCTTGGGTTTGCCTCTCATTCCTAACAATATAGATAGACTAAGCAGATACAATGAAGACAGAACACCAACCAATCAACCAACAGATAAACAACAACAAAACCATACATATTTGAATTATCATTACATATTAGTATTTCTTCATTCTATATTGTAACTTATTTTTAGGATTTAGTTTTTAGATCTTCAAAAGTAGTTTTTACAGTTTGACTTTTGTCTGTTGCCTTGAATGATATATGTATGAAGGGCATTACTGAGTAATAAGTGTATTAACATTTCCCAAAATTTGTGTTTCCCATTTTCTCTTTTAAAAAATATACCATAAACAAATCAGTAAATCTCCATGTTTTTTGTTGAGTGATGTATAGTTAGGGAAAGATGGAACAAAAGGCCCCCAGGTTAGTAATCTATCCTGGTGTATTCACGTTGAAGGTGTAAAACCAGGAAGCATGTGCAGTTTTCATTAGCACAGACTTAATAGTACTATCAGTTACCTTCCAGGGCTCTCCCACACCCAGAGTTAAAAAAAAAAAAAAAAGCATTACCAAGAGTAATGGTTAATGAGAATCCATTTGGAAGATTTTATTTTGTTCTGTTTTTTCCAAGGGAGTTGCAGGGTGTATCCAAGAGTCCAGTATTGCCATTTGAAACTTGTCATTCTCCTAAGTCTTTCAACTATCTCACTCAGCAGCATTGTTGTAGCATGTTTTTTGCTTTTGTTTTTTTATTAATGATTTTGCATGGTTATGGTTGGAGTGACAAGGGTCTTTTAATTGATTCATATGTAATTGTGTGTATATTTATATGCATGTTTTCTATTCATATTACAGGAGGAAGAAGCTAGACGACAATCAGGAGCTCAACATGGCTCCTTTCCAGGTATGGTTAGAGTAAACTTGAACTTGTTAATACTGTAAATAATAGGTACATTATTTATTTGTAAGTTCAAATATATGTTTTGCTTTATTTCATCTGTCCCTAGAACTCTGAAGCGTCTTTAGAATATTAAACCCTGGGTGATTTAAGTGCCTTTAATTTACCATAGTGGAAATTCTTCTGTACATTGATGTTCATGAAGACATGAAAGTAAATGCAGTCTATAGAATTATTAAGTATAAAAAGTGTTTTGAGCCTTATGTAAAATAATATACACTCTTCCCATTCCCACAAATGTCAGTGATTAGAAATTTCTGGTGAGGCAAAAGGCATTCTGGTCTGAGGCCAGAGGCAAAAGATGCACTCAGAAAATAATTATTTGATACTTCTGAATTAAGGCATTGTGAAACTTACCGAAGGACCAGGAAGAGACGAAAGATTTGTGATTCTAAAGGAACTCTACTTCTTCCAGATGTTAAATGATAACTGATTGCTCTTAGTTTATGGCAGCCCATATAGCCACCTATACATGTGTGTGTGCCTCTGCCTAGAAAATTAAAAGCTTAAAACTAGAACTTTAGTAGTGAAAGGGGCACTGTGTCCTGCAAGTAAAATTCTAGTGCAGTGGAAAAAGGGAAGGATAGATGGATGAAGATGACTTGCTGTATAAAGACACAGGGAAGCCTTTTTTTAAAGCTTGGAACTTCCTGTTGTGAGATACCTTTGTTTTAGAAAAGGACTGCTAATGTGCAGTAACAGTAGACAGTTTTTGTCAGGTAGATTTCTATTATCTAAACTTGACAAGGAGCGTGTCTAAATATTAATGCTTTGAGCCAGTAATTTTTGAATGAGCAGAAGTTAGTTTTTCAGGGCCTGGGCATCCATAAAGACAAGAAGCATAGTTAGTTGTTTTCAGGCCTTTTTGGATTTCTGTGTGGCTATATTTTAATCATTGTTGATCCTAGGTAAAAACAACTTTGGTCTGCATTTCTTCTTCTATAATGGGGCTTTTCAAGGTTCCCTGATCTGTAGAACCACATTACTGTTGTCTCTCTTTGGCCTCAAGATGAGCCTCATTCATAGTATTGTTTTCAAGTGCCTCCAGTACACACCGGTTTAGATTAGTGCAGATGACAACAATGTACTGATTGCATGCACACCCCGCCTTGCTCTCAGTGTATAGAAGAGTTTTCAAGTGTGCTTTTTAACAATTCAAATTTCTAGAGTCTCAGAAATTTTGCTCCTGTTTAGGGTAGAGATCAGGAACCCACAATTTTTAGAAACAAGCATTTCTAGTAGTAGTGAAAGAATAAGTATTCTAGAGAAATAAAGATTTTAAAAGAAACTCTGTTGTCAAACAAATAATAAAAACAAGATAACTGTATTTGATTTTTTGTTTGTTTGTTTGCTTTTCTCTTTGTTTTTAAGGCAAGACTGGTTTCTTTTTCAGCAGTTTGATTAATGAATGTAGGTGGGAAAGTCTGATTTTAAAAGTTAAACTCACCCTGCCATCTCATAGATTCACACTTAGCGACCTTACAGGGCAGAGTAGAAGCGTCTCTGAGTTTCCAAGCCTGGGAATAGAAAGCCTCCTCTTCCTCCTGTGGGGCAGCCCGGGGTTTCCAACTGCTGCCCTTCTACTTAGCAACTCAGTCCATAACCCACTGATGTTACACCACCTGGCTCCCCAAGGACCTAAAATTCGTCTTTTTACAACTCATTAAGAGTTCAGACTCCTTCATATCCAGTGGCATCCTTGCTGTCTGCTCACGTTTGTGTGCATATTAATTTTAATTTGAAGATACTAGTATGCTAAATGTGAATATAGTTGGTGTCCATATAATTTTTAAAAAAAACTTTTGTTAGGTGGGGGTTTTACATTTCAAATCTTCAATTTTGTATTCAACAGCCTAAAATATTTATGCAACTCCCCACTAGCTTACCCTATATAATTCTTAATTTGATTCTTACAGGTGGCTTTCCTGGGGGGATGCCTGGTAATTTTCCTGGAGGAATGCCTGGAATGGGAGCGGGTATGGCTGGAATGGCAGGAATGCCTGGGTTCAATGAGATCCTTAGTGATCCAGAGGTTCTTGCTGCCATGCAGGTAAGACTTGGCAAGACAAAATTGGACTTTGTCGTTTATTTTGTATTTTTGTGTGGAGGGAGAGTTTACATTCATGTTTTTCACATTTCTGGATGACCAAATAGCCAGTTGTATAGTTGTTGTGTTCTTTTTTCCCAGAATGAGTAAACATTGCTAAAAATTAGTTTGGGGCAAGTACTCAGTAATTGTTGGCAGTTATTGGCCCCCCCCCTTTTTTAATCATTTTATTAGGGGCTCATACGACTCTTAACACAATCCATACACACATCGATTGTGTAAAGCACATTTGTACATTCATTGCCCTCATCATTCTCAAAACATTTTGCTCTCCACTTAAGCCTCCGGCATCATTTCCTCATTCCCCACCCCGCTCCCTGTTCCTCCCTCCCTCATGAGCCCTTGATCATTTATAAATTAATTTTGTCATGTCTTACACTGTCTGATGTCTCCCTTCACCCACTGTTCTATTGTCTATCCCCCAGGGAGGAGGCTATATGTAGATCCTTGTAATCGGTTCCCCTTTCCACCCCACCCTCCTTCCACCCTCCCAGTATTGCCCCCTGTGTTTCCAGTTCCTGTCTGTACCAGTGTACATCCTCTGGTCTAGCCAGACTTTATGCCCCTTTTTTGTATCAGAATTATGCCTGCTTTCTTTGATTACCTAATGTAAGTGACTTACTTGAGGTTGGCTTTGAAATACACATTAATAACATTAAAACAAATTAAAATGCTAAATATTTTAAAGTATGCATATTTCAGTGGCTTGTCTACTAGTTTTGTCAGTTAATTTAGCTGTGTCAAAATCAGAGATACAATTAACTTAGCTATGTCAAAATCAGAGATACAAATAAAAAACTGGAATTTAGAGTAAGGAAACTGGTTGACCCAATAGAATTTAAACCTTTTTTAATTAATAATTTTTCTTTATAGGATCCAGAAGTTCTGGTGGCGTTCCAGGATGTGGCCAAGAATCCAGCAAATATATCAAAATACCAGAGTAACCCTAAGATTATGAATATCATCAGTAAATTGTCAGCCAAATTTGGAGGCCAAGCATAATGCTGTTTGAGAAATAAAGCCGTTGCCGAAGGAAAAGCAAGCTAGAGCATTTATTGGATGTCGCAATAATACAAACCAGTGTACCTCCGACCTTCTCATCAAGAAAGCTGGGGTGCTGCGAAGACCACCCTTACCCTGCCACCCTCGTGCCGCTGGACAATTTACAGTTGTTTTTCATTAGGGTATTCATTCAGATCACGTTTTCCTTTTAGGAAGTACAAACTTTCTTTAAATACTTTTTAAATCTTAATAATACCTAAAGCAAAAGGTTGTGTTAATGCCTACATTTTTCATTACTAATCATTTTGGTTTTGTTTCTTTGAATTGGTTGGGTAAAAAGATAATGTGTGGAAGATTTATCACTAACGAGCAAAATTAAGGCTTATCAACAAAGAAATACAAGTCATTTAAATTGATGCAAATGAGATACATAAATGGCAACTTAAGGCATATTGATTTGTCCTTCTAAGTGCTTTATTTCTTCCAAAATAGGTTGATTTCAATGATAAACTTGGGACCTCACCTGTATTGTGGAAGGACCTCTAGAGACTGGGGGTGGTTGGCAGGATGGCAGCGGTCCTTCTACATTTTAAGTCAGACGAGCCCTTTTGCAGGTAACATGTACATCTGACACTGGTGAGAGGATGGTTTCTGTAATGCTGCCGTGAAGTTGGCTTGCTTACTCTGTTCTTATCCAATGTATAAAATAAAAGTTTCAGATTATTTCCACATAGGGGGGAAAAAGGAGTACTCTTCTTGTATTTCTCTGTTTAAAAGTTGTATGTCTGGACCCCAGATAACCCAATTCCACATTCCACTTTTTTGCCAGCCTTTCTCTCCATCGCCTCATTTATTTTCTCCACTCCTGTTGGCGTTTTTTTAATTGGTTTATTTTCACCAGCAGCACCATTGCTGCCATCATTCACTGAATAATTGCGCAAGCATGTTCAATGCTGGCCTTAATTTGGTATGTATGTGACGCATGGTAATTGTATAGGGTAATACCCATTACACTGTAGTTTCTTATTTGGTCAAGAGTCACTACACTTAGACATTAGGTTTGTACATTGGTGAATTCCTGTCATATCCTTGATGTTTAGAAGGAATTCATTCCCTTTGGTGTCTCATTCATCTTGTAAAATTCAACTCTGTTTTAGAGAGCGAGGTGTGAATTGAGGTTCTTCCTCAGTACTGCAGTCAGAGCCCCACCCCTGCTCCCCTTTTCTGAGGGGGACAAATAACACATTTTGTACTGCTCGTTCCATTCTTATTTTAAATAAGACTGTACTGCCACTGTGCACCTGGAATTTTAACTAGGATTCTACCTATCTTTCATTTTAAATGCTAGCATTTAAAAGCATGGCTGCTACTCTTTGCCTCTGAAGAATCAAGAGTGGTGGTAGTGAAGTCAGTTCCTTGGAGTACTTTTCTGAAATCATAAGGAAATTGATTCCAGTTCTAACCCTTAGGTTCCCAAACTTCCTTGGCCTACTGTTCCTTTTTCAGGATAATTTAAAACTTTTTGTATTATAGCCCATTATCCCACATGCCCCCACCCACCCAGTGGGGGGGCACAGTATTGCCCTCTTTGAGAAACACTGTTCTAAATCCTGTTGCTGTACACAAGCAGATAGAAATACATCTAAAAGTAAAATGAGGAAATGCTATATGTTGGTGGAGCATACTTTTGAAACACTTTAAAATGCTTGGCATAGAGTCATGCTTTTGAGATTTTCAGTGATCTTTTTGTTTATGTGATCTTTCACCAAAAGCTCCCAGGGTGTTCTGCAAATAACTTGACAGACCAGTTGCTTGGAATTTTTAATTTAATTTACTTAAGTATACACCTTTAAACAATCTCACTGAAGATAACTACCATAAATGGGTCAAAGTGATACGGGCTGCACTTTCAGACTGAAGTTCCCCAAATGCCAAATAGTGTCTGATTTACAACAACAACAAAAAAAGCCCTGCTTAAAAACACATAGTTATTGGCTATTCCTAGCTATATGGAAAATAAGGTGTATCAAGCTGGATATTGATTTTCATCCCCCTTTTTTCAGTACATGTACTTTTATAATGTGTTAATCTATAGACTGTAAGGTGCTGTGAATGAGGAACAACGAACCAGTTGTCAAGTGTATTCCGGTTCTGGCTCATGGTGGTGACCCCATTGGCTGCAGAGTAGAACTGAGCTCTGTAGAGGTTCAGGTGGCCAGGCCCTTTCTTCTGTCTCTGGTTGAGCTTGTTTCTCTTGGAATTGTTTGGCAGTTTAAGAAGTTGAACACAAAGGTACTTGGGGATGGGATTGATTGTATTCATGGCTTAAAATAATTTGTGGCATTAGGAGATCATGGAGTTTTTCCACGAACTTTTCGAAGCACTCTGTGGTGTGCTAAGAAACAATAATGGACAGAAGCATAATGGTAGGCCTTAGTCCATTCATGACAAGCCTAAGAATAGGTCCCCCATTCCAAAAAAAGAGAATAGTCTAATCACCTTCAACTCATTGGGCTCAATATTGCCGGTCCTGTTCCCATTCTTGTGACCACTGTGGTAAAATATCCTTAGTTTCAGTGTCCCACCTAAACTCCAAACATGCTGCCATTGAGTCCATGCCTACTCAAAGCAACCCTAAAGGCCAGGGTAAAACTGCCCATTCAGACTACAGGGGTTAGCACAGCTCGTTAGGGTTTCTGCAACTGGGAAAAAGGATGAGTCTGGTTGCGCCCAAACGATTCACAGGCCCAGAAACTAATGAGTTCTGTGCCCTATACTCAGAATCATCTTGATGGCAGTGGTTTGGGGGATACTTATTTTTCTTTTGGTTTTGATTGAAGTGAAAATTCATTGTCTATGAAATTGATTAGTATAAAATTCTAGTTTTATAGTTAGGGATTTCAAATATTACACCAGAGCTAGAAATGCAAAAGTGGATAGAACTAGTGTAAACTCTAAATATGTACGAATCCATTTTCTAATTAGAATATCTTAAATGTTCACTCAGATCACTACAACATTTTCAGGTTTGTGGTATAACCTGACCATAGTAACAGTAACATGTCTGGATGGCATAGACGTGTGTACACCAAACCCACTGCAACTGAGTCAGTGCTACCTGACAGTGACCTTGTAGAACAGAGTAGCATTCCCTAGCGTGTCCCAGACTAAATCTAGGAGCAGACAACCTGTATCTTTTTTCTGAGGGGAGGCAGCTGGTACAAAGAAACCACTGACTGAAGTGTGTATAAGAGGGGTTATGGAATTTTTTCCCCCCAAAGCTATATATTTAAATTTTCACAAAACCATATCACCTTCAAAATACTCTCCATTACACTTAATATATTTTTCAAATCTATTCCATTCTTGGAAACACTTCAACTCATCTGGTTGAATGGCTGACAGCAACTCCCTTTGTTTTTTTCTTCATCTTTTGTATGTCCTCAAATTACTTTCGATGGAAACAAAAAGTCGATCAAAGTGAGGTCAGGTGAGTAAGGTGCATGGGGCAAGAGAGGCATGTTTTTTTGCCCAAAACTGGTGCACCAAGATGGCTGCGTGAACATGTGCATTGTAGTGGCAAAACCAATCCCATCTGCCCCAAATCAGGCCTTTTTTGTCACACTATTCAGAACCTCTAAATAGAAAGCTTGGTTAACAGTTCGACCTGGTGAAATGAACTCCCTCACATCACATCTAAATTTTTTGGGGGGGGGTGCCTCTTCATAGAATATTGCTCAATTTATATAAATAGAGGAGCCTTGTTGGCTTAACCAGTTAAGCATTCTGCCACTTACATAAATGTTGGTGCTTTTAACCTACTGAGTGGCTTGATCTGCTTCTAAAAATTAACCTCTCTGCCATCAATTCCAACTCGCTGTGACCCTATAGGACAGGGTGGAACTACCCCTGTGGGTTTCTGAGACTGACCATTTACAAGAGTAGAGAGCCCTGTCTTTCTGAAGCAGCTGGTGGTTTTGAACTGCTGGCCTTATGGTTTGCAGCTTAACGCATAACTGCCATACCAAGGAAATCCTGTTAGACTGTTGTACTCGGTTATGCGGGTTCACTCTGAGTTGGGATAGATTGGATGGCAAATAACATGAGTACTTGTTGGTTACCCTCAGGTTAGGCTCCAGCTCACGGGTACCTTATGTCTGACAGAATGAAATGCCACCCTATGCTAACCACTTTTGTGATGTGGTGTTAGGTGCCATTGAGTCGGCTCTGACCCATAGCAACCTTATGCACAGCAGAACCAAACACTGCACGGTTCTGAACCATCCTCACAACTTGTTCTATGCTTGAGCCCATTTATGCAGCCACTGTGTCAATCCATCTCTTGCAGAGCCTTCCTCTTTTTCACCACCCCTCCACTTCACCACACGATACCCTTCTCTAAGGATTGGTCTCTCCTGACAGTATGTCCAAAGTATATGACAGAGTCTTGCCATCCTTGCCTCTAAGCAGCACTCTGGCCTTGCTTCTTCCAATATAGATAGGTTTGTCACGTTAGCAGGCCATGATACTTTCAGTATTATTTGCCAGTACTGCAATTCAAATGCATCTATTCTGCTACAGCCTTCCTATTCAATGTCTTAATGTTCACATGTATATGACGCAGTGGAGAATACCGTGGCTTGGGTCAGGTGCACTTTAGTCCTCAGTAACATCCTTGCTCTTCAGTAGCCTAAAGAGGGCATGTACAGCAGATATACCTAGTATAATATGTATTTTGATCTCTTGACTGCTGCTTCCATGAGCATTGATTGTGGAAACAAGTAAGACAGTCTTTGACAACTTCAACCTTTTCTCTATCATGATGTTACCTATTGGTCCAGTTGTGAGGATTGTGGTCTTCTTTACATTGAGTTGTAACCCATACTGAAGACTTCAATCCTTGATCTTCATTGGCAAGTGCTTCAAGACCTCCTCACTCTAGAAAGCAAGGTTGTGTCATCTGTGTATCGCAGGTTGTTAGTAAGCCTTCCCTCAGTTCTCATGCCAGCTTCTCTGGTGATTTGTTCAGCATAGAGATAGAGCAAGTAGGGAGGGTGATAGGGTATAGTCCTGAAGCACACCTTTCCTGATTTTAAACCATGCGGTCTTGCCTTGTTCTGTTTGCACAACTTCCTTTTGATCCGTGTACAAGTTACAAATGAGCACAGTTAAGTATTCTGAAATTCCCATTCTTCTCAAAACCTTGAGTTTATTATGGTCTACACACAAATGTGTTGGCATAGTCAATGAACCATAAGTAAACATCTTTCTGGTACTCTGTTTTGAGCCAAGAGCCATCTGAATCTGGCCTGAACTTTGTGTTCAGTTCCTTGTCAATGTACTGCTGCAACCATTGTTGGATGATCTTAAGCAACATTTTACTTGTGTGCCATATTAATGATATCGTTCTATAGTTCGAGCATTCTGTTGGGTCACCTTTCTCTGGAATGGGCACAAATGAATCTTTTCCAGTCACTTGGCCAAATAGCTCTCTCCTCAATTTCCTGGCATAGACGAGTGAGTGCTTCCAGTGCTTCTTCAACTTTCTGAAACATTCAATGGGTATCCTGTCAATTCCTGGAGTCCTGTTTTTGGCTAATGCATTCAGTGAAGTTTGAACTTCTTCCTTCAGAACCAATGGTTCTTACTCAAATGTTACCTCCTGAAATGGTGTACTGTCGATTAGTTCTTTCTGGTACAGTAACTATGTATTCTTTTCATCTTCTTTTGA